CTGTAGCAATAGAGGTAAGGTGCACCTTCAAATTTTACAATGGTATACAATTTTGATGTAAAATATTGTTAGGATTATCTCAAAATCTATTTTTATATCTAATTATAAAATTTTAAATTTAAAAAATGGTTAAAATCAAGTAGATCTATAAACATATGAAAATCCTAAAAATGGACGGTGCAGATAATATGTTGTAAAATGCATTATTTATGAGGCTTGAAATCTTTTTATTTTTCATGGTCATATATCTCGATGTTAAGATGATCAATCAAAGGGTTTTTCAACATTAAAATTACCTTTTTCAATATATTTTTGCGGTGCATCTGTAGTTCTACATTATAAGGTTGCATCATTATATAAACTTTTTCCTTTATCAAAATACCTAAGAGATAAATTTTTTTACATTTTATACAATCCTGATTTTGTTCAAAATGCTCATCAAAATACATGTTATTGTGAGTTCGAATGGTTGCAAGAGGGTAAAATGTTAAATAGTCAATAAATTATGTTATTTTGATAAATGCCCATTTTTTAAGGAAATGTTTCTATATTTCCCCTACAGCATAGAAGTTTTATCCTTCCCCTACCATCCAGCCGTCCAATTTTGATCAAGAGTGTCACTCACCATTTGATCTTAGATCGACGTTTCAAAGTATTTTATTTTTATTTTTTTATACAAATTGTATAAATATGAAATTTGGCACGTGCCATCTTCTCATTGGGTTGCACCTATAAAAAAATATTAAAAATAATTGTTCGAAAAAAATAAAATTAAAAATACCCTTTAAAACTTTCAAAGGTATTTTGGCCATTTTATTTTATTGAAATTTTTTTTTTTTCGCTAGTGCGAGTTTAATAGAGAAATGGACGTCCAAGATTTGGTATAAAAATAGTTTATAGAAAAAAAAATTAAAAATAAAATAGTGCAGAGACATGACATTGTTATTGGGGCAATCTTAGCCCTCTATTCAGAATGGACGGTTGGATAAGAGGAAGTATATAAGTTTTATGCCGTAGGGGAAGTATAGAAAGCTTGTCGATTTTATTTTTGTAACAAATATCATCCACTTCTTCATAAATAGGCGATTCTCGATTCTTGCTAAGAATAGCAATGCAACGGTGTTTGGTCCAATGATTTAAAAAATGGATCGGTGCCCTGGATCGGGCATCCCAAAAACCCATCTGGATCAGTGAATCGACGATTCGGATCGGGAGTCAGCCGAATTGGTCGGATTCAGCCTTAAAAAAATTCAAAAAAATATATATAAAAAAATTCATTATAAACGTTGTTTTTTTAAGAATCCAATATGAAATGGGGGTACTACATTAATTACTTTCATTTGTTTGCATCAATGTGCCAATATGGAGATGTTCTTTCCCTGTATGAGCTATTGTTAACCATTAAATTTATATCATACAAAATGAGAAGTCTAGAATTATCATGGATGAAATATATAATCATACATGGACTACATTAAAGCTTGCAATTCGTAAAATATGACCTACTATCAAAATGAAAGACGAGGCTGTCAAAGTTCATTGTCGATAAATTAGCAACCATACAATTTCATCATATGTGATTATTAAAGATTGACATAAGCATAATGAAATCAATAGCAAAAAATCACCATTCCAAGCAAAAAGTTCAGCCAAAACACAACAAGTTGACCAGATGTCAATCGCTGAGGTGTACTCAGTAGCTCTAAATATCAATTCTGAAACTCTATAATATCTAGAACAAATATATGATATATTTGGCTCCCCTTTCACCTGTCAGTAAAAATATATAAATCATCAAAATTAGAAGAATGAGTTTTTACAGTTATAAGGAAATTTAATTTTGCAGGAAGCAAAACCCACCAAAACTTTTACACTTCCAAAGTCACGGAGCTTGAGCTGGTGTGTATGAGGATTGATATGTAAATAGGAATGCCACTAAGTGAGATAGGGAAACTGTGATAAAGGCGAAAAGTAAAAATACCAACATTGCAAAAATAAATGAATAAATCAATAATAAAAATGACAAAACAAAAAACTCCTAAAGATATTGCAAAAATAAATGAATAAATCAATAATAAAAATGACAAAACAAAACAAAAAACTCCTAAAGATTATACACAAGTGCAATTCAAACAGTTTTACTTGACAAGTAAATGTGGAAGTAAAGGATTTCTTTTAAAAACAAAAAACTATGTGCATGCAAATGATCAAGAAAAACTAATTTATCTTGAGATTCATTATTAGGTTATTCGACATTTAGAATATTAGAATTCTCATGCAAGTATATCTATCACATAGAAAAAAAAAGTGATAACCACAAAATATATCTAACTACTAGCAATGTCTGTGTATACAAGTTTGTTACTACCAATATGGTAGTTTTTTAATACAAGGACTCTTAATAGCAAAAATAAATAAGATAAAAGCCATACTAAAAAAAAATTAGTAAAATTAAATTTCTTTTTTTATCATATCAATGGAGAAAAGGGGAAAGAACACGAGCTCCAACAAAAAAGCGTAAAATTAAAATATAAAACAACAAATCACTGCACCTGATTTTAATGATAAGTTTGTTCTAAAAAAAAAAAACGATCAAATTGAAGAAGAACAGCTACAGAAATTGAGTTTTGGCAGAAAACCTAATCCGCTAAAAAAAAAACCCAAATTTTAGTAAAACGTTCAGAATCAGGCATGTTTTTGGGTTCAATCCAACCCAATCGATGTTTTATGGACTTGAAAAGTGATTCCCCTCCATTATTAATAAAAAAATGATGAATGTTGCTGAACTTTGATGAATTTTTTGCCAAGAAAGGGGAAGAACACAGGCTCAAAAAAAAATTGTAAAATTAAAATACAAAACAATGATTTTTATGAAAGCTTGTACTACCATGATCATTCAGCAAAAAAAAAGAAAATCCAATTGATAAGAACAACCACAAAATTCGATTTTTGGCGGAAAACCCAAATCTGCTAAAAAATCCCCAAATTTTAGTCAATAATCTTATGAAAATTGGTTTTTTTGGGTTCGATCCAAGCCCAATAGATGTTTTATAAACTTAGAAACTTATTTCCCTCCATTATTGATAAAAAAAAAGGATGGATTTTCATAGTTTTTTGGTGGGAAAAAAAGATCGATTTATGTGAAAAAGCTATAAACTCATGGGCTTGAGCTAGTCACCGTGTCGACATGGGCCTGTCACTGTAGCAAATTTGAACGAATCGCCGGTTGCCCTCTAAGATCGCCAAGTTCCACGTTTTATGCTAGAATCGGCGTGGGCTCACCGATTTACAAGGTTGAATTAGCCAATTTTGTGCCGACTCGCTGAGTTTTTAATCCTTGGTTTGGTCTAGGTCAAGTCGACCTGGACCAAAAACTGACCCAATTACGTCTGAGTTAGACCTAGAGGGTTAGGGTCTAAGTTAATAACATGAAGAATAAAATATAAAAGATACATTTAATAAATAATTACACAGTACAAGCATATATGCCGAGTTGGGTTGGGATCTGACCCATGTCTAGGCCTAACCTGACCGAATTTGCCCATGTTGAATCCCAGACCCAAACCCAGTCGCATCCGTGTTGAGGTGGATTCATACCTGGTTCCAATAGACCCCATCAGGTTTGTGGGCTAACTCGACAACTACCCTAGCTCGAGAAGTGAGATTGACACCGTATTTACTGAAATGAATACTATGGATCAGTAAATCCTCGGCGTCTCGTGTCAGTCCCGCTCATATCCGAATCGGATGATTAGGAATACTATGGATCAATAAATCGTCAGCATCTTTATTATTTGAATAAAATTGAGGGCCGAATAGGACGATTAGGAATACTATGGATCAGTAAATCCTCGGCGTATTTATTATTGGAATAAAATTGAGGGGAACTGCACTGCCATGTCACACCATTGGTGTGGGTAAAATAGGAAGATGAAGATGATGAATCGCAAGATGTGAAAGAAGAGAGAGGAGAAGAGGTGAAACTATCGAACCTTCCCCAATTTTTTACACCCACCTCAATTTTTATTCATCAATAGTTTATCATTAATGGTACAAAATTTATGGTAAAAATGTATTTTGAAATTTTTTTAATATCATAACATTAAAATTTATAGGCGGTTTTATTTTTATTTTTAATCATATGATATAGAAGTGTTTTATAATAATTTATTGATCATGTTTATTATGATATTATAATTAATAATTATATATTGATAATCATATCTTCTATTTTATTTATTAATTTATTTATATTATAAATTATATAATATATTATTTTTCTTATAGTTGTAAATAAAAATATTTAAATTAGATGATACTATAAAATATTTTAGAAGTTTTGTATTTATAAATATTTTATAAAATATAAACCAACAATTTCAATTTCAATATATAATATTATAGTTAGTTAGGTTGTAATGTATTATTTTTGTTTATTAATTTGTTAAACTAAATCTTATATTTTATGTAATGTATTATTTTTTGTTATAATTGTAAATTAGATTTTTAAATTATATGATATCATAAGATTAATTTCAAATTTATTATTATTTATATAGTAAAATGATGATAAAATAATAAAATACAAACTAATAATTCTAATTTTAATGTATAATATTATATTTAGTTAGGTTTTAATAAATGTTTGATAGGAATTTTCATCTAAAAAAATAACATCTCAATATTCGTATATTGATGAAAAAAACATATTTTTTTTAATAAAATACCCCTAGTTTTTATTGGATTTTTAAAAATAATATTTATAATAAATTTTTATAAAATTTTTAAAGCTGAATCCGACAGATTCCATCGATTGTCGATCAGAATATTTGATTTACCGCTCTTGAGTTTTTGGAGTGTCCGACATGGATCACGGACCCGTTTTCTAAACCAGTCGTACGGGCAATTTGGTCTCATTAACCGAGGGCACTTTGGTCTTGCGGAAGCAGAGACGCCTTGCTATGCGACCCGTCTCTCTCTCTCTCTCTCTATAAATTATATGCAAATTGCTCTTTAACCCCATCATTCTCTCTATAAAAGTACGCTGATTCTCTCATTTCTTGGATTAAGGATTTTCTAGCGCGCGGCGAGGGTAAAGAGCCATGACTACCAAAGCCAAAGAGAAGCCAAAACCACCTGTAACTTCCATCCCTTCCTCTCCTCCTCCTCCATTGGAAGATCTCTTCTCCAATCTCTATCGTCACTCTCAGAACTCCGAATTCAAGCAGGCCGTCAGAGTTGCTGATCAGAGTACACATCTCTCTCTCTATCTCTTCAATACCTAATTTTGTCAGTCCTTTACCTATTCTCAGATGATGTGTTCCCCTTTTTATCTCTCAGATCCCTAATTCCCACCCTGGAATTTGCTCTCTACCTGTTTCCTTCTCTCTATGCTTAAATCTCATGTATTTTTTTTCCCAGTTCTTTCTATTGCTCCTGGTGATGAGGACGCAATGCGTTGCAAGATCGTGGCCCTCATCAAGTCTGATGATATCGATCGTGCTTTGGCTACTGTTCAAGCTTCTGAGAAGCTCCCAATTGATATTAGTTTTTACAAGGTGCATTCCTCTCTTCCTCTCTCTCGTTCCCACTCCCTTCTTCCTTCCTCTTCTTTTGGGCAAATTTTCCATATGTGTATTCGTTGACTCATAGTGTTATGAGTTTTGATGGAAACCATAGAATGGGTGTATCAATTTTTGAGTTGATTTAGTTTTTTGGCATCACTTTATAATTTGATTACATTGATATATGTCTTTGTACATTTTGATTATTCTTTGTTGATGGATCAAAAGAAAGTATTCATTATCAGCACAAATGTTGCACTCGGAAAAAAATTAGCATGAATTTTTGGTGTTATTGTACCATTGATTGAAGTTGGTCATCTTGCAAACTGTTCATAGTGTTTTGGTTTGCTGGTTCCACATAACTTCGTCATTGGCTTTGTCTCTAATGTCTGAATAAACATTTTAGCATAGACCGTTCGTTATTAGGCCTCAAAAAACCATGAGGTCATCCACATTACTGTAAATTGGAAATGGGAACCAAGCCTGTGCTAGGTGAGAATCCTCTTATCTATCCTGATTCAATCCCCTTATTTTAGCATTAGATACTCAAAGTTGCAGGAAAATAGGGGTGGGCGAAGTGGAGATGTGCAACTGGAGACGGTTGTGTGACCAGATTTTCTCTATGGCTTGAATGTTTGGCGGTCAAGAAACAATATACCCATAGAACGATTGTAGCT